TCAATAACTAAGTAAATAAGGTGTTATTAATAACTATTAATAGCATTAATTTTCTAAAGTTTAATTATAAAGATTAGTAACTTGTAATAATAATTGGCTCAATTGATTTTAAAAATACTTTTATTAGTTTTTGAAATCATACTTAATTTCCTTCAATTAAAAAGGATTCAATACTATAATCTTGAAATTACGTTTACTTTCTCTTTGAGTTAAAGTTTTTTTATTGAAGCATTTACAAATTGATTGCACTAAAAATTAAGAATAAAAATTTTGAATTTCAAAAGACTTAAGACAGTTTGTGAAGCTAGTTATATATTTAAGAATTATAATAAAATCTGGCTAATGGGAAAAAATTACTTTTTTTTTAGAAATTTTAAATTGAATGCTCTCTTTCTTGAGAAATATATTGGCTTTTTAATTGATTTACGATTAACCAACATAGGCAATCAGTATGTTATTTATTGAATTCTGAGTTCTTGCATTCTATACCGTTTGTTTAATCAAAACCATCCTACAAGAAACAATTGCACCTTCTCCACAATGAATTGTATCAGTGAGCCCAATAAGGGTAGTAAGTTCATTAAAAATTTAATAATTAATTTAAAAAATAAAGGCTCATATCATAAATGATCCAGATAAATTCAAAGAAAATGCATAACATTCATCTGTTTTTTTAATTATATTATCCTATAATTTCATATGGGTGATATGTCTATGAATCAACTTTTAGCCATGTAAAAATAATATCTAACATTGGAAAATCACAATTATTAATGAGAAAGTAATGATACCTTATTTCAATGTAAGGATGAGTCAATACTTTAAGATCTATGCAGAGATTTAATGTTGTGTAATATTAGGTGAAAGTTAGGTACACAAAGAAAGTTGGCTATTTCTACAATTGCTAACAACAACAAAATATCATATTTCTCCTATTACTGTCAGATAATAATATATTGTTTCGATTAAGTTAAACAAATTAAGCAATTAAACCAAACATTCCTTCATTTTAATTATTTTCAAAAGTGATATTATTTTGCACAAAAGCTTTGATTTGAACCTATAGAACAATAATTATTAAATTGAAAGTATTGCAAAATCTCCTATTTTCATAAAGTAAGCAATATTAATAATCGAAGTATTAAGTTATCTCCCTTTTGGAAGAAACATTTCAAAAGATACTAAAGAAACAATAGAAATTCAAGTATGAAAAGAACAATCATTTTTTTTTGACTAAATTTGATTGGTTTTAATTAAACAGAAGTTGTCCAAAAAAAATTGTATTATAACTTTTGATAAATCATTAGAATGTTTATGAGCTGTGATGACTAATATCTAAAACTTAAATTTTTTAATATTTAATATACCTCCACCTTCTAATCTTTGGAATAATATATCTGATTTTGTAAATTATTTGATGAAGTTTTAAATGAATACTATTTAAGAATCATCAATTATTTTATTAGACATATTCTTGTAATTAAAAAAAAATAGTAAGTTTGAAACTTAGACAAATGACATACTTTCAAAAGATATTATATTTTATAATTAAAAAGCCAAATTAGATGGTCATACTAGCACTGTCTGGTCAGTTTGTTTCTCTCCTGATGGAAATACATTAGCTTCTGGAGGTAAAAAAAAATGGAAAGTTGTATAATAGATATAGTATCCAAGAACTTATTTAGTGAATAAATATTATTCAAAAATTTATATTAAACTCTTTGGAAGATATTTGCGTTTGTAAAATGTATAATTTTAAAATGTTAAGCTTACTAATGCCCTAATCAAATTTCATCAAATTATTCCTATTTGAAGATTACTGTGACATATCTAAATTTAAATTATAGAATTGCTGGTTATCTCGGAATACTAGTATATAAGCTACTCAATTAATATTAATAATTTAAATAAGCTATACTATTTCATTTCAAATTCTTCAAAAATTAAAATGAGAATACACTATAAGCTAATTAAAATATGTATCATCCTAGTAAAACTTCTTTAACAATTCAAATCTATTTTTCGTGCGCCTAGAAAAATTAATAGAATATAATTGTTTTATCAAATTCAAATCTCTATTTTTTGGTGCCTTAAGTGTCAAGCAAATTTTTAAAAATATAAAATTTTCTTTTCAAATTAAGATGAAAGAATTAAACAATTTCTTTAGAAAAAGCACTCACAGATGTATTAGATGTATGAAAATAGCCAAACATCTAAGAAAATAATAGAAATACACCTAAAATAGTCAATTATAATTTACGAAATATAATGAGGAGTAAAAATGAAGCTTTTCAAATCTTTGAGAAAACTTAATCAAATCATATCTAACCTTTGTGTGAAAATAGTAAGATAGAAACTGTTTAAGAATAATTATTTGCATATATCTAATAAGGGCATTAAAAGAATAGTCAGCAAATGATTATTTCCAAAAGGCATGGCAGATTAAACTAAAAAATGTAGATTTAAGACTTACAAAAAGTATATAATAAATTTTTTATTTGAAGTTATGGATATTAAACTTTAAAAATAGATCAATCATCTCAACTATTAGATTTAGCAATATATGTATGATAAGCCAAG